ACTCAGAACCTCCCACTGGACAGGACAGAGCAACACACACACACACACACACACACACACACACGTTGTGTTTTCATGTTTTATGGGGACTTTCCATAGACATAATGATTTTTATACTGTACAAACTGTATATTCTATTCCCTTACACTGCCCCTATCCCTAAACCTACCCATCACAGGAAACATTCTGCATTTTTACATTTTCAAACAACATCACTTAGTATGATTTATAAGCTGATTTCCTCATGGGGACCAAAAAATGTCCCCACACGAACAAGGATTTCGGATATTGCCATCCTTGTGGGGACATTTTGACCCCATAACGTAGGGTTTACCAGGCCACATATACACACTCACACAAACACACACACACACACATAAACGCACGCACACACACACACATAAACACACACACACACACTCTCTCTCTCTCTCTCTCTCTCTCTCTCTCTCTCTCTCTCTCTCTCTCTCTCTCTCTCTCTCTCTCTCTCTCTCTCTCTCTCACACACTCACACTCTCACACACTCTCACACACACACACACACACACACACACACACACGGGACTCAGGAGGTTGTTTGGTCCGTTGGTAACTCTTGTACCAGGGGCTGTTTGCCTAGTAATTTATCTCAGATGTGAAGGATTGAGAATCATGTTTGAGTGAAATCCTCCATCCCTCTTGAACACGGTCTCCTCTCTCCGTCCCAGCAGAGGCGTGCCCTCTTGGCCAGCCCGACACACACTCGATCTGCACAAACCCTGCGCCAGCTCCAGGCACACACTGATGCCGTTTAGCTTTCCGTACTGCAGCTCTGGTTTTTGACATCCTCTCACACACTCGTGTCCTGTAGATCGTGAATACCAAAACGGCCTCACTTTGGCAGTCTGGGAATAGTTGACAGCTTGTTAATGAATTTTAAAAGCGCTCGAGTCTTTCAGCGCCACAGATCGTCTGCCCCCTATAGACAGGATTTTGGTCAGGACTTTAGAATACAGGAGATTAGACTTAGTTGACATGAAATTAAGACGCATTCCTGATAGTCTTATAGTTATTCAATCAACTCATGCCAAAGGAAAATCGAGTTTTCTTCCGAATAACTTTTTCTGCCTCTAAAATAACCTTTTCGACTCTTATTGTACACCGTTTCTCCCCCAAACACCTGTCATACAGAGACCCTTTTATTCCCCATCCAATCAAGTCCTGATGGAGAAAGTCAAGCTCTACTATACTTTTCTTTTTTTCTTTTATTTAATTTGCATTCTTAAGTTTGCTGTTCTTATTAAACCAAATGCATTTGCGAATGTGACTTTAAAGGTGTAAGTCTGCAATTTTTTGTCTGATACATTATATCGGACAATATTGGATAACTGCACACGTTTAAATGACCTTTGTTGTCATTTGGTGAACATTTAGTGACTTAAAAAGGTTTTACTGTATACAACAATAATCAAGCCCCTTGATTTTTACAGTTGTTCGTGATTTAGGGGCTTTAAAAATATTTTTTACTTGCAATTCAAAGCTTGACATAACAAAAAAAAAAAAAAAAATGTATATTGATTATAAAAATGCCCATTTAGTTTTAAGATTTTATTAGTTTACATGACTCTTTCCCAGCTCTAGAAAACAATCTTTTAAAACAAGGCTACCTCATATTTGAAGGATTTTATAGATTGTGGGAACCACAGTTGTCGAGTGGAAGAATTAACATTAGAAATATATCATTTTTGTTGTTGTTGTTTTAGCTTAATAATGTTTTTTTCTTATTTTAAATCATTTTAAGTTTTGAGGTCCCCTGGATGAGAACCGCTGCACTAAAGTGTTGAAGTTAGTCTGTTATACTGTTAAATGTAATATGAGCAGATCTCAAAATTAATATACATACATTTTTCCAATGAAACCTAAATTCACTTCTAAGGTGACTAGTATTTAAACCGTTGATTTTAATGTTTTATTTTTTCACAATATTTTAAAAACTGTCCATTTTATCGGTGATAGGCTATAACTTTAAAATAATTATCGACTTCCTTATTGTTACAGATTTTTATGGAATTGTTACAGATTTTTATGGAAATAAACCACTTGCTTGGTTAATTCTGCATTACACTGGGATATCAGTGCTGTAACATCAAAAAATTAAATTGATGTTGTAACATCAAATAATAAAACATTGTACTTTTATAATAAACAACAGAAGTAATTAAAGGGTTAGTTCACCCCAAAATGAAAACTCTGTGAGTAAAACTCTCCAACCCCGTAAGACTTTCATTCATCTTCGCAACACAAATTAAGATATTTCTGATTAAATCTGAGAGCTGGATCACTCCTCCATAGGCTTCTAAGGGATTGAAACTTGCCGGCCCAGAAAAGTTATTAAAGGCATCTTTAAAATAGTCCGAGTGACTATAGTGGCTCAACCTTAAGTTTATCAAGCGACGTGAATACTTTTTGTGCGCAAAAAACACACAAAAATAACGACTTTATTCAACTATTCATCTCCTTCTCTGTTGGCCTCGAGATAGTTCACGTAGTGTAACAGCGCATCACACACACACATGACCAGCGTCGGCCAATAGTGAGCCTACGTGTGACGTACATCACAGAAGCGCTGCGCTGTTACACTACGTGAACTATCTCGAGGCCAACAGAGAAGGAGATGAATAGTTGAATAAAGTCGTTATTTTTGTGTGTTTTTTGCGCACAAAAAGTATTCACGTCGCTTGATAAACTTAAGGTTGAGCCACTGTAGTCACTCGGACTATTTTAACGATGTCTTTAATAACTTTTCTGGGCCGGCAAGTTTCAATCCCTTAGAAGCCTATGGAGGAGTGATCCAGCTCTCAGATTTAATCAGAAATATCTTAATTTGTGTTGCGAAGATGAATGAAAGTCTTACGGGGTTGGAGAGTAATTACTGACAGGTGAACTATCCCTTTAATCTACACAACACAACACACCAAGGCATCGCACCAGGTTGAGGTTGAAGTGATGGCACATATAAATGAGTGAGGTGGTCTATAATCTCTGTCCTCACCTTATAGGCCTAAAGCAGTTCAGCTCACACCCACACTAATGAATCACTTCGCTGCGATGTTTTCAGGATGATGAAATATTGATGCAGTCATTCCCCAGTCCTACAGATGTGCTGCCCAAACCACAACATCTCGCACTCGCTTTTACTAACTAACACAAATGTGAACTAGTTTGTGCAACTTCATTAATTCGTGGAGGTTTCATTATCCTTAATGAATGTTTTAATTACCGTACATGTGCATGTACATCATGCTCTTCTCGTGTTATGTGTTGTCAGTGCATTGATTGATTGTTGTGTAAGAGATTGTCAGGTACAGTGTGTGTACACAGGGCTTTGGTGTGGCATTGGGTGTGAGTGTGTCTGGCACGGCGCTCGGCTCTCACAGCATTCCTTGGTGCGCGGCCAGATTGCTTCATGCTTGTCATTAGGACTGCACAATATATCTGAAATATTGAAATATCGCAAATGTGCATGTCACGATATGCATATTGCAATGCTCGCGTACCTACCCCGAAGTGATCAAATAAAATAAAATTCTGTATCAAATTTATAGGCTTGTTTAGGCATGGTTTGTAAGGAGTTACAAACCCGCGCACATATATTCAAACGCACATAACTATAGAATTAGTTCTTAATGCGCATGTGAACGCCATTGGTGTTTATCACAGGTTCGCGTTTAAAGTCTGTTTAGAGAGAACGGTGTCGTCTTAGCGGCCCCTAATTTAATAACAAATGATCATTTCGATGGAAGTGAATCAACCAAAACTAACTTTAGCTGGAAATAACATTATTCAATAACCGCTATAAAACCAAACCAATCTTTGTTACCTTAAATTATACGTTTATCTCTGTAAAGCTGCTTTGAAACAATCTACATCATTAAAAGCGCTATATAAATGAGGATGGCTTGACTTGACTTGCGATAACTGAATGATTTTAGTACTTTAAAAAGTTAATTCAAGTTGACGCAGGCAGCAGAGAATAGACTGGACACATGACTGCTACATACATGTGATAGACATAATGTTAAAAAGAGCTAAGCGCAAAGTAAACAGGGCTTTATGGGTATCTAACAGTCAAAGTCATACATTTACAAATGTAGAAAAAGCTAAAATATTTGAATGCAAAATGTAGTGTAATCTTGGAAATAAAAATCCCATTCATTTTCTCCATACGGGATTTGATTTTGAACAATAACTTGTAGCTCCGAGGATGTTAAACAATGGTATATGATTTTGTTGAAGCCATCAGCTTACATTATTTCCACTTATTTGTTTAATTAATCGTGTTGAACAGCTGAACTCCTGTTTGAAAAAAAACTACATTACCCATGATTCTGTAGAGAAATCTCCACCAATCAGAGAGTCTTTCCCTACGCTCTCAAACCTCTTAAATATCTACTTCAATATTTTATGCTTAATAAACATTTTAATTAATCTAATATCAACATCTTTAATTCAATGTATTTCTTTGTTTTTATTGCCATTCGCAATATTAAATGAGATTGTAGTTATTTTCCTCAATAAAGCTGTTAAGTACACAGTCTTTTACCTTTTTGTCCAATTTTCAAATACATTTTTTCTTCAAATCAAAGTTTGTAAAGTGCTTCACCTCGTAGCTAGTTGTTTTGCTATATAGCTTGTAACTCTTAAAAAATACTTGAAAATCCCTATATGAGAAGAATACTTCTGGAACAAAGGTTACTGATGCGCACTGTATAATGACTGACTAAGTCTTAAATGATTGAATTATTTGCTTTAGTTAGGACCGATTGGATGTTGTTCAGTTCACTAACCCAACATACGAGTAATAGTGATGCTTACGCTGGCAAACACCACTGAAAAAGGGGGCAACTGTCTTAATAAAGCGTCTCTCTCTCTCTCTCTCTCTCTCTCTCTCTCTCTCTCTCTCTCTCTCTCTCTCTCTCTCTCTCTCTCTCTCTCTCTCTCTCTCTCTCTCTCTCTCTCAGTCTAATAAGGTCCCGGTGGTCCAGCATGCGCACATGCACCCCCTGACCCCCCTCATCACCTACAGCAATGAACACTTCTCTCCAGGAACTCCTCCAGCCCACCTCTCGCCAGAGATACTGGACCCAAAGACAGGTATTACATCTGACACACGGTAACTTGTGTTTCTGTCTTTTAATCATGTGTCTTACGGACTTTGTACCTCTGGTCCAGGTATTCCTCGGACCCCTCACCCCTCAGAGCTGTCGCCCTATTACCCACTGTCCCCTGGGGCCATGGGGCAGATCCCGCACCCATTGGGCTGGCTCGTCCCACAGTGAGTATCCCTTATTAAGGGGTTTTCACACCGAAATAACCTTTTCATAGTTCCTAGAACTATTGGCGGGAGTTCCTGGATTTTGGCGTGTTTGCACCACAGGAACTATGAACGATTTTAGTTCTAGGAATTCCTTATGGAGGAACTAATTTACTCCTACTTCAGATTCGGTCTACACCAGCACTATAGGAACTATCCGTGACATTAGTGACGCTGATTGGCCGAACGCACGCGAAACACCAGCACCCGCCATTTTTTACAAAAACGCTGTGTAAACACACAGATTATAGCCTATATATTTACTCCACAAACTAACTCTACGAACATGTAAAACAGGGATAGATGAGCCTCTTAACCTTCACGCTGAGGAGAAAATCCAACGACACTTTGAGGAGACCAAGAGAACATGATTATGTATTTCTGCTCATCAACACTGGACATCAACCACACGGCATACGCTAATAACTCTTCATTACTGTCTACTTCCTATGTATAACAGTTCTATATAATATCGTATTAGACAGGACTGTTAGACACACCGTAAACTGATGAACACTGAGAACGGGAGCGCTGTGAGCTCAGGCTCTGGCGTTCTCAGCGCCGTCAAAATAAAAGTCCCAACAACAAGCGTGTCTGACGTCACGTCACAGTTCCTGCGAACGCAACCAGGAAAACGTTCCTAAGGGAACCATTAGTTCTCGGGAAACACCTGGTGGCTCAATCCTAGAACTACCCGGTGCGAAAGCCCCTATAGTTACGACCTACACACCCTGATTCAAGTCAAGACACCTTTATTTCTAATAGCACTTTATACAACACAGATTGATTCAAAGCAGCTTCACAGCGATAAACAGGAAAATAACAGAATCAATCTAAACTTCATAAACTATTAGTCAAATTCTGTTGTAAAGCAGCTCTAAAAAGACAAGTGTCATTATCCAGCTGAAGTTGGTTCAGTTCAGTTCAATAACTGTGTAAAGAGTTTAATTCAGCTCTACTGAAGAAAAAGTAGATCCTCCATATGATATCTTCCCCTTTTATTTCTATGTTTAAATCCTCTTTGAAGACCCATTTTTTTATTCTTTATGTTTTAATTCTGTTTGAGGGTGTAACATTTTTCATGTGTCCTTTTTGTTTTCTTTATTTTGTATGTTTTATATTTGTTGTACAGCACTTTGGTTTCAACAAACTGTTATTTTAAAAAGTGGCATGACTCGGTTCAGTTCAATAACAATGTCGATGTTGCAAAATTACTATGTCAATTATTCAGCTCAAGTCAGTTTAGTTGAATCAGTTTAGTTGATTCAGTCGAGTTCAATAACTCTGTCAAGTTCATAAATTAAGAAACAATTTCAATTCAGCTCTATGCAGCTCTAAAGACGACAATATTGTCATATTCAGTTCAATAACAATGTTGATTGGTCAATTATCCAGCTATAAATAAATACCTGCAAAAGTTAATAAATTATGAAACGTTATGAAAAGTTAATTTCAGTAATAAGCAGCTTTACTGAAGACAATAGTTTTGGTGTTCAGCTCAATGCTGATTAAGTTCAGTTCAATAATGTCGATGTTGCAAAATTCTTCAATTATGAATCTAAATAGATTGAGCTATGAAGCATCTCTATGGAAGATGTTGTCTGAGTCACCCTCGTTCGCTCTGATTCACCCTCTCGCTCTGTGTTCGTCTCAGGCAGGGTCAGCACATGTACCCCATCACTGGGGGCTTCCGGCACCCGTACCCAGCTCTCGCCATGAACGCATCCATGTCCAGGTGAGTGTGTGTCCAGATTCATACTCATTCTTCACACTACACTTTTATTTCCGGTTCATTTCACTCACTCACTCACTCACTCACACAGACTCACTCACTCACACGCTCACACACAGACTCACTCACTCACACGCTCACACACAGACTCACTCACTCACACGCTCATTTACTCACTCACTCACTCACTCACTCACACACAGACTCACTCACACGCTCATTTAATCACTCACACACACACTCACTCAAACACACACACACTCACTCACACGCTCATTTAATCACTCACACACTCACTCACTCACACACACACTCACTCAAACACACACACACACTCACTCACTCACACACAGACTCACTCACTCACACGCTCACACACAGACTCACTCACTCACTCACTCACACGCTCATTTACTCACTCACTCACTCACACACAGACTCACTCACTCGCTCATTTACTCACTCACTCACTCACACACAGACTCACTCACTCGCTCATTTACTCACTCACTCACACACAGACTCACTCACACGCTCATTTAATCACTCACACACACACTCACTCAAACACACACACACTCACTCACTCACTCACTCACTCACACGCTCATTTAATCACTCACACACTCACTCACTCACTCACACACACACCACACTCACTCACTCACTCACTCACTCACTCACTCACTCACACGCTCATTTAATCACTCACACACTCACTCACTCACACACACACTCACTCAAACACACACACACACTCACTCACTCACTCACTCAGTCACTCACTCACACACAGACTCACTCACTCACTCACACACACTCACTCACTCACTCACACACAGACTCACTCACTCACACGCTCACACACAGACTCACTCACTCACTCACACGCTCATTTACTCACTCACTCACTCACACACAGACTCACTCACTCGCTCATTTACTCACTCACTCACTCACACACAGACTCACTCACTCGCTCATTTACTCACTCACTCACACACAGACTCACTCACACGCTCATTTAATCACTCACACACACACTCACTCAAACACACACACACTCACTCACTCACTCACTCACTCACTCACTCACACGCTCATTTAATCACTCACACACTCACTCACTCACTCACACACACACACACTCACTCACTCACTCACTCACTCACACGCTCATTTAATCACTCACACACTCACTCACTCACACACACACTCACTCAAACACACACACACACTCACTCACTCACTCACTCAGTCACTCACTCACACACAGACTCACTCACTCACTCACACACACTCACTCACTCACTCACACACAGACTCACTCACTCACACGCTCACACACAGACTCACTCACTCACACGCTCATTTACTCACTCACTCACTCACTCACACACAGACTCACTCACTCGCTCATTTACTCACTCACTCACTCACTCACTCAGTCACTCACTCACACACAGACTCACTCACTCACTCACACACACTCACTCACTCACTCACACACAGACTCACTCACTCACACGCTCACACACAGACTCACTCACTCACACGCTCATTTACTCACTCACTCACTCACTCACACACAGACTCACTCACTCGCTCATTTACTCACTCACTCACTCACTCACTCACACACAGACTCACTCACACGCTCATTTAATCACTCACACACACACTCACTCAAACACACACACACTCACTCACTCACTCACTCACTCACACGCTCATTTAATCACTCACACACTCACTCACTCACACACACACACACTCACTCAAACACACACACACTCACTCACACACACACTCACTCACTCACACACACACTCACTCACACTCACTCTCTCTCTCACACACTCTCACTCACTCTCTCTCACACACACTCTCACTCACTCACACACACGCTCATTTACTCACTCACACTCTCACTCACTCACTCTCTCTCTCACACACACACACACACACACACTCATTCTCAAACTCACACACACACACACAGGAAATGAATGAATAGCTGCCAGAGTTCATTCACAATCACTCAAGATGAAATGGATCTGAATTGATGAAGAACTGCTCTTAATTTAGTGGTAGCACTGGATTAAATGAGGATAATCTGTACTGAGCTACTCTTGTTGGTGTGTGTGTGTGTGTGTGTAAATCGTTGAATTATTCATACAGAGCTCATAGTGATCAATAGCCCGTCTTCTTCCAGACCTTTACAGCCATTGTCAGCACAGCTCAGGCGAGTTTGTTTCTCCATTGGCGTTTGTGTGAAAGGACCACACTTTCTGTAGCTACTTTGAGAAGTTCCCTATTCATAGTGTTTGATTTAAATCCCTCTTTAATTCAGTCCTGAATTGAAAAGATTTTGCTTTACAGTAAAAAAAATCCATTTGATTTAAAGGTACAGTCAAGAAGTTTTGGTAATATTTCGCAAGAAATAAAGATCTATTGTTGAGCGATATGTGAAGCTCACACATAAGTTACTTTAGCATAGTAGCTTTCTGTTTGACAACTAGAACCCGTTGAGCTTGAACTTGAATCTGCATGGGCAAATCTTTCACCCTCGCGCATAATTTCAGATTCCTAGTGAAGATGATTTCGGTTGCAAAAATTAGCCGGACAGAAATATCCGAAATCACACATTCAGTCTAAATTCTGCTTTTGAGGTGAGATGGCTTTTCTAAGTAGTCTGCAGGACATCATGATAACGGCACTTGCAGTTGAATTAAGTCTTCCCGGTATCCCAACTAAAATTTTAGAGGTTTAAGAAGAGTACAAGAGCAATAAGAGGAGGGCGGAGTGGACATTGCTTCAGTACTGGATGACGACAAGTCTTTATTGTGTCAGTAGAAGCTTTCAGCGCTGGGATCAGAACCGTGTCCCATTTCAGCTGCTTGTGGGAATTGGTCTTCATGGGATTTTGAAAGTGGCGTATGTGTTTTGGTAAGGGGGGAATGGTCTTGAGTGTGGCACACTTTTTGTTACCACAGTAACCTGGCACTTTACCTGAGCGAATAAAGGAGCTTTTCAGCTGGTGCTTTATTTGGACCATAGATAACATTCGAACAGAATTAAGAGTGTGTTTTAGTCCAGATGCAGCATTAAGACCTGAGTCTTTGAGTGTTGTATTCTGGGATGCTTAAAAGCCCTGATATACACAGTTCAAGTGATATGGTAGAACGACAAAATCAGGCCAAAACACAGTTCACTTCTGGAGTTGTTCGAAAGTGAAATTTCTGGAAAAATTAGCTCTGGCTGATAAACACCTTCAAACTACCATTGGTCCGTGGTGATGACATCGTAGGTGGGTGTGGCTCTGAGGCCCCGCCTTCTTTGTGTAAATCTCCGCTTTATAGTAGAAAATAAAGTTGTAATTCTAATTTAAAGCGACACTGACACTGTTTTTTTTTCAAGCAATCTATTTTATGAAGTGCTATATATAAATAAACGTAACTGGACTGGAGTGATGAATCGCAGAGCTGGTGCAAACACATCGCTGTGATGCTTTCTGGACTGCTGTTTTCTCACTGCTGTCATTTATATTATGTGTTTATATTGTTAATTGAGAGGGAAGGTCGGGGCACATGTTTACATATTCGCTCTCAGAAGCGTGGACGTGTCGGGATGTTCGCTAACATTATCTCTGGCCCCAAAGTCTCAAAAAGTTTAAGGGCTTTTCCGTTAGGGCTACGATATTGATATTCACGATATTGGAAAAAAATATTTTGTTTTTCTGCAATATATATATAGCAATATCGACGCTAAAACGATATATATCGTGCAGCCCTACTTTCCTTGGTTTCAGAAGGCAATAATGGTAATTTACCTCTCTTTTTCTTTACAGTTTGGTGTCCAGTCGCTTTTCTCCTCATATCGTTCATCATCCTCACGGTCTTCATCAGACGGGCATCCCTCATCCAGCCATCGTCTCTCCGGCTATTAAACAAGAACCCAACGGAGAACTCAGCCCAGCGGCTCACGCGTAAGCTCAAGCATGCTACACACTTTCCTGCTGTTTTTCTTTTCTTCTTTAAAGGGATAGTTCACCCATAAATTAGCCCATGATTTACTCACACTCAAGTAGGGATGTAACGATTCATGATACTGGTTTCACGATACGATTTTCTCACGATTTTTTTAACAAATGAGATTTAAGACAAAGTGTCCCTTTTATTATTTCTCAGACAAAATGCTGCACATTTCTTTTTAATTTAAAATATATATGTCAAATAATAAAACTACATAAAAAAAATTCCCTTCAAGGTTGTTTCAACTCAGTCTTTCTGTTTGGTCAAGAGGCTGGACACTGGTACCTTCCCACACTATGTAAAAGACTGTGTAAAATTAGTACCAGATTGACAGGGGTTTTACATTGTAATAAAGGCAAGATTCTAATTTTGTTATAATTTGTATCATTACACTAGTAAGAGTTAAAAAAAACACACATTTAGAGAAAGAGGTAGCAAAATAAATACAACACCTGGTTGCCATGGAAACACTGATGCACCTTGTGATCTCCGTAGCTCTCGCAATTGTCGTATTAATGACTTTTACGTGAAAACGGAGGTGACTGGTGCTTCTCACGGTGGTGATTATTATTAGTCTACGGAAAGTCAAAATGACGCCACACCTCCGATTTGAATGAGTCAACGTCAACATCTACGCTTGCCGTCGCCATGTCTACTGTTTGACGGCGCGTGCACACCGCGGCACGAGTGGAGCAAACCGAGCATTTTCAGTTCATTCCTATGGAAGTTGAGCTTGGCTCACACAAGATCAAGTTCCATGAATGAAGTGAAAACACTCGCTAGCTTCACGCCAGTGTGTGCTCGCTGCTATTGTGCCTGTAAAGCGAGGTTCACAACTTCACAGTAGGCTATACAGTAAACGCGCCCTGCTGTTTAAAACGTGTATCGCGATCATAGACGTGTATCGCGATTCGTTTAACATTTCAACCGACTTGAATCGTCACACATTTTTATCAATTTTCAACCGGTTGCGAGTGAATCGTTACATCCCTACACTCAAGTCATCCTAGGTGTATATGACTTTCTTCTTTCAGACGAATACAATCGGAGATGTATAGAAAAATGTGCCGGCTCTTCCAAGCTTTACAATGGTAGCAAATGGGCATTTCTGTTTTGAAGTCCATCAAAGCTCATCCATCCACGATAAAAGTGCATCTGTCCGTGATAAAAGTGCATCTATCAGTGCATCTATCCATGATAAAAGTGCATCTATCCGTGATAAAAGTGCATCTCTCCGTGATAAAAGTGCATCTATCCATGATAAAAGTGCATCTATCCGTGATAAAAGTGCATCTATCCGTGATAAAATTGCATCTATCCATCATAGAAGTGCATCTATCCATGATAAAAGTGTATCTCTCCATGATAAAAGTGCATCTATCCGTGATAAAAGTGCATCTATCCGTGATAAAAGTGCATCTATCCGTCATAGAAGTGCATCTCTCCATGATAAAAGTGCATCTATCCATGATAAAAGTGCATCTATCCGTGATAAAAGTGCATCTATCCATCATAGAAGTGCATCTCTCCATGATAAAAGTGCATCTATCCATGATAAAAGTGCATCTATCCGTGATAAAAGTGCATCTATCCGTCATAGAAGTGCATCTCTCCATGATAAAAGTGCATCTATCCGTGATAAAAGTGCATCTATCCGTCATAGAAGTGCATCTATCCGTGATAAAAGTGCATCTATCCATGATAAAAGTGCATCTATCCGTGATAAAAGTGCATCTATCCGTCATAGAAGTGCATCTCTCCATGATAAAAGTGCATCTCTCCATGATAAAAGTGCATCTCTCCATGATAAAAGTGCATCTATTCATCATAAAAGTGCATCTCGCCATCATAAAAGTGCATCTATTCATCATAAAAGCGCATCTATCCATGATAAAAGTGCATCTATTCATCATAAAAGTGCATCTCTCCATCATAAAAGTGCATCTATTCATCATAAAATTGCATCTCTCCATGATAAAAGTGCATCTCTCCATGATAAAAGTGCATCTCTCCATGATAAAAGTGCATCTATCCGTGATAAAAGTGCATCTCTCCGTGATAAAAGTGCATCTATCCGTGATAAAAGTGCATCTCTCCGTGATAAAAGTGCATCTATTCATCATAAAAGTGCATCTATTCATCATAAAAGTGCATCTATCCATGATAAAAGTGCATCTCTCCGTGATAAAAGTGCATCTATCCGTGATAAAAGTGCATCTCTCCGTGATAAAAGTGCATCTATTCATCATAAAAGTGCATCTATTCATCATAAAAGTGCATCTATTCATCATAAAAAGTGCATCTATTCATCATAAAAAGTGCATCTATCCGTGATAAAAGTGCATCTCTCCGTGATAAAAGTGCATCTATTCATCATAAAAGTGCATCTATTCATCATAAAAGTGCATCTATTCATCATAAAAAGTGCATCTATTCATCATAAAAAGTGCATCTATTCATCATAAAAGTGCATCTATCCATGATAAAAGTGCATCTATACATGATAAAAGTGCATCTATTCATCATAAAAGTGCATCTATTCATCATAAAAGCGCATCTATCCATGATTAAAGTGCATCTCTCCATGATAAAAGTGCATCTATCCGTGATAAAAGTGCATTTATCCGTGATAAAAGTGCATCTATCCGTGATAAAAGTGCATCTATCCGTGATAAAAGTGCATCTATCCGTGATAAAAGTGCATCTATCCATGATAAAAGTGCATCTATCCATGATAAAAGTGCATCTATCCATGATAAAAGTGCATCTATCCGTGATAAAAGTGCATCTATCCGTGATAAAAGTGCATCTATCCATGATAAAAGTGCATCTATCCATGATAAAAGTGCATCTATCCATGATAAAAGTGCATCTATCCATGATAAAAGTGCATCTATCCATGATAAAAGTGCATCTATCCGTGATAAAAGTGCATCTATCCGTGATAAAAGTGCATCTATCCGTGATAAAAGTGCATCTATCCGTGATAAAAGTGCATCTATCCGTGATAAAAGTGCATCTATCCGTGATAAAAGTGCATCTATCCATGATAAAAGTGCATCTATCCATGATAAAAGTGCATCTATCCATGATAAAAGTGCATCTATCCATGATAAAAGTGCATCTATCCGTGATAAAAGTGCATCTATCCATGATAAAAGTGCATCTATCCGTGATAAAAGTGCATCTATCCATGATAAAAGTGCATCTATCCGTGATAAAAGTGCATCTATCCATGATAAAAGTGCATCTATCCGTGATAAAAGTGCATCTATCCATGATAAAAGTGCATCTATCCGTGATAAAAGTGCATCTATCCGTGATTAAAGTGCATCTATCCGTGATAAAAGTGCATCTATCCGTGATAAAAGTGCATCTATCCGTGATAAAAGTGCCTCTATCCGTGATAAAAGTGCCTCTATCCATGATAAAAGTTCTATCCATGATAAAAGTGCATCTATCCATGATAAAAGTGCATCTATCCATGATAAAAGTGCCTCTATCCATGATAAAAGTGCATCTATCCATGATAAAAGTGCATCTATCCGTGATAAAAGTGCATCTATCCATGATAAAAGTGCATCTATCCATGATAAAAGTGCATCTATCCGTGATAAAAGTGCATCTATCCATGATAAAAGTGCATCTATCCATGATAAAAGTGCCTCTATCCATGATAAAAGTGCATCTATCCGTGATAAAAGTGCATCTATCCATGATAAAAGTGCATCTATCCATGATAAAAGTGCCTCTATCCATGATAAAAGTGCATCTATCCATGATAAAAGTGCATCTATCCATGATAAAAGTGCATCTATCCGTGATAAAAGTGCATCTATCCATGATAAAAGTGCCTCTATCCATGATAAAAGTGCATCTATCCATGATAAAAGTGCATCTATCCATGATAAAAGTGCATCTATCCGTGATAAAAGTGCCTCTATCCATGATAAAAGTGCATCTATCCATGATAAAAGTGCATCTATCCATGATAAAAGTGCATCTATCCATGATAAAAGTGCCTCTATACATGATAAAAGTGCATCTATCCGTGATAAAAGTGCATCTATCCGTGATAAAAGTGCATCTATTCATGATAAAAGTGCATCTATCCATGATAAAAGTGCATCTATCCATGATAAAAGTGCATCTATCCGTGATAAAAGTGCATCTATCCATGATAAAAGTGCATCTATCCGTGATAAAAGTGCCTCTATCCATGATAAAAGTGCATCTATCCATGATAAAAGTGCATCTATCCATGATAAAAGTGCATCTATCCATGATAAAAGTGCCTCTATACATGATAAAAGTGCATCTATCCGTGATAAAAGTGCATCTATCCGTGATAAAAGTGCATCTATCCATGATAAAAGTGCATCTATCCGTGATAAAAGTGCATCTATCCATGATAAAAGTGCATCTATCCATGATAAAAGTGCCTCTATCCATGATAAAAGTGCATCTATCCATGATAAAAGTGCATCTATCTGTGATAAAAGTGCATCTATCCGTGATAAAAGTGCTCCACAGGCTCTGGGGGGTTAATAAAGGCCTTCTGAAGCGAAGCGATGCATTTGTGTAAGATAAATATCCAAATATAACACGTTGCAAAAGTAAAATTCTACTTGCGCCCAAAGCGCAAATTACGCAACTCGGGAGCAGCGAAAGAATAATGTCATATACACCTAGGACGGCTTCAGGGTGAGTAAATCAGGGGCTGTTTTCATTTTTGGGTGAACTATCCCTTTAATGCTTTATTCAACTAAATAGCATTAGCTTCACACTCTCACCTCCAAATGACTCTGTGATAAAGTTTATCGCTGTTTTGTCTACCAACTCGCCACTGTGATACACAGTCCTTTCTGTGTCTTACTCACTGTCACTCCCTCACATCCAGTACAAAGACTGACCCACGTGTGGCGTATGTTTGCAGAAAGTCTCCAGGCCCGAATAAGAAGGAGGACGAGAGGAAACCTCACATAAAGAAGCCTCTAAACGCCTTCATGCTCTATATGAAGGAGATGAGGGCCAAAGTGGTGGCCGAGTGCACGCTAAAAGAAAGTGCCGCCATCAACCAGATCCTCGGCCGCAGGGTGAGTGGAACAGTGTGTGTGTGATTTATATTAATATACATTTTAAGAGTGCAGCAGGCGTAATGATATGACAGTGTATATATAGATATAGTACGCACGTTTGTTGTGTAAACACTATTGTGTCCCACATCATCAACGTGCCGCCGATAAAAACTAGTTTTCAACTTTGCCAATTGCTTATGTTGCCCTGTTGGTTCTTTATACTACTTATAATACTTTTATTCATCAAGGATGCATTAAATTTGTCAAAAGTGACAGTAAAGACATTTACATTATTTCAAAATATTTATTTTAAATAAGTGCCGTTCTGTTGAAATTTCTATTAAGAGAATAAAAAATAAACAAAATGCATCATTTTTAGAAAAATATTAAAGTCCCCGTTGTCAATAATTGTATACCTTAAAACTCATCTTTGATCACCGAAATGACATTTAAAAATTCTTCATGCCTTAAAATATCTTGAATGTAACTCGACACCCTTGCCTCATTTAGTATGCGCGGTTCTATGAATATGCAAATGAGCCCCGCCTCCACTCACTCCCTCAGCTCAGAGATCCACTGGTTGACGATCACACGTTGATCTGATTGGTTACAAGGTCGTTTGTGACGTCAGAAACACCAGCGATTTCAAACCGTGTTTTTGAGACTGTCTTTGGTTCACTGCAGTTTTAAGCAGAAAATACTCAGCAATGCTGTCGACTTATGAACTTACACATGGTGTGTCTTAAAGCATATTAAAAACAACATTAAAAACTGGATTTTCACCACAGGGGGACTTTAAGCAGCACAACAGTTTTCAGCATTAATAAGAAATAAAAATCAGCTTGATTCTAAAGGATCATGTGACGCTGAAGACTGACAATTCAGCTTTGCATCACAGGAATAAATCAAGCTGTTATAGTACATTATATGTGGAAAATTATATGCAATAACCACTGACCCGTGCAGAAATCCAGGCCATGATAAAAGATCGAAACTTGCCGTCTGTGTCCTGATACAATATTGCCTTGCAAAATATCACAATACTGTGCTATAGATGAGAAACATCTCACGACCCCAAAGTGTGTGTATAAGTGACTATTTTTACATGCGTGTTGCTTGTACACACAAGACATGGGTGTGTGGTCACACTGGTATGTGCATGGTCTTAGCAGCGCCTGTATGTACAGTATGTATGTGTGTGTGTGTGTGTGTTTGCCCTTTGGCTGACTGTGGTGTTTGTGTCATTCACTATCACGAGAGGAACAGGCCAAATACTACGAGCTAGCCAGGAAAGAGAGGCAGCTGCACTCTCAACTCTACCCGGGCTGGTCGGCCCGAGATAACTACGTGAGTCAGGCGCTTCAGGATCCGCTACACACACACACACACACACACACACACACACACACACACACACACACACACACACACACACACACACACACACTCACTCACTCACTCACTCACTCTCTCACACACACACACACACACACACACACACACACAATCTCTCTCTCTCTCTCTCTCTCTCTCTCTCTCTCTCTCTCTCTCTCTCACACACACACACACACACACACTCACTTTCTCTCACACAAACAAAAACACACACACACACTCACTTACTCACTCACACACAAACTCTCTCACACACTCAAACACACACAAACACTCTCACACACACACACACACACTCACTTCCTCTCTCACACACAAAAACACTCTCTCACACACACACACACACACACACACACACACACACACACACACACACACAGCCTCACTCTCTCTCACACACACACACACACACAGCCTCACACTCACATTTGGTTCTTTTGTAAAGAATCTTCTTTTATAAAACACAAATCCCGTGTTTGGTTGTCCTACCACAGGTCTTCCTCTTAAATAAGATCATACTGTTTTTTAATAATTACAAAAAAGTGACATTCCTTTGTTTTTGTTCTCCCAAAAAGTACCATTTGTAGCTTTTCTACAGCACGACGGAAGCAAATATGCTCTTCAGTTTTAACACTATTTGTGATTTTGTAACAGTTTACAAGAAGTTCCCATCAGTTAATGCATTCATTACATTAACTAACAATGAGCAAAACCTTTGTTAAAGTTAGTTAGTTAACTGTTCATTGTTAGTTACTGTTAAATGATGTAATGTTTACAAATTACCCTCATTGTAAAGTTTTTCTTAGTTAGTCAACATGAACTAACAACACTGAAACATTCTTCTAAAGAATTTATTCATCTTAGTTACCGGTAATATTGATTTAAACATTTACTAACACATTATTTAAAAATCCAAAGCTGTGTCTGTTAGCATTATTTAATGGATCTGAGCTAAAAATGAACAGTTGTACTTTTATTGACTAACTAACAAAGATTAATAAACACTGTAAGAAATTTATTGGTCATTGTTAAATTTAGTTAATGCATAAACCAAAGGGGAACTTATAAAGTGTTTCTTACTAAACAAATCAGTGTTTTAAACCATATCAAGCTAAAATTGGAGTGTCCTTGTTACACACGTCACATGTAGTTACTGTAGTAATAACTAAAAATGATGCATAATTACTAGGGATGCGCCGAATCCAGATTTGTGGGGTTCGGCCGAATACCGAATCCACTGGTTAAGATTCTGCTGAATCCGAAACCGAATACCGAATCCTACTCTCATCCTCAGTCCATTAACACAGTAAACACATTAATGAAGTAAACAAAGTGGATTTTTTCATTTTATTTTATTACTGTAAATAATAAACACTACTTTTATAACTGTAAAAAAAAAAGAAAAAAAAAAGAATAAGCAACATTATGCATTTTAACAGCGGCGATGTTGTGTAGCCTATTTAGAGTCCTTGCCACCATGAGACAAATCGGCATTGCAAACTGAACATGTAGCTCGACTTGAATTGCCTTCTTTCACTGAAAGTACTGCCAAACAACACTTTTTCTGCTCACGAGTTCCATTTTCACTTTCTCACAGCCTACTGCATTCGAACGGTGCACCTACTGTAACGAGTGGAAATAAGGTGTGTCCCCTTTAAGAACTGCGCGCCGTATGTGCCGTGCGCCTCGAACACATGCCCATGTATGCGGGTTATTTCTGTTTGATGCTCATTTTTACCTTATTGTGTTAAGTAACGCTGTGGACGGTAGAACGTGTGACAGACAGTTACACAAGTTCGATTGTGGAATAAAGTGCGAGTTGTGAGATGCCAATCGCCTCCGTGAGTCTGTCTGGCCTCTGCAATAACTTTAGCTGTGAGCTATCCCTATTTTTCTTCCTGACACAACGCGTTACACTACAGGCTTGTTCGACTTGAACCGGCGCTGCACAGACAGATCAGTTTATGACATCAAAGTCCCGCGAGAGCAATTCAAAAGCATAAGGAGCCGTCTGCTCTCTATTCGTTCACGCGGTACTTTGATGTCATTCACTGATCGGTGACTTCGACGTAGCGCGCGTAGTGCAAGCCTAGGGTTCGGTTCGGTGGAAAAAAATTCTGAGGTTCGGCAGAAACCGAACCCTGTTAAAATTCCCAATATTCGGCCCGAATCCGAATCCGAATCCTGGATTCGGTGCATCCCTAATAATTACATGCAACTGACCCTAAACCTAATCTACCCTAACCCTATAGTGAAAACATGTAGTTATTTAATATTACTCATAATCACACTGTAACAATGGCACCTTAAAATAGTGTAACTTATTATTAAATTGCAGTGCTTTTACACTGAACAAAAACCTACACACATCCTCTAACCTCTAACTTGTAACACTATCTCTGTTTCCATCTCTCTCTCTCTCTCTCTCCTCCTCTCTCTCTCTCTCTCTCTGTCTCTCTCTCTCTGTCTCTCTCTCTCTCTCTCTCTCTCTCTCTCTGTCTCTCTCTCTCTCTCTCTCTGTCTATCTCTCTCTCCTCTCTCTCCTCTCTCTCTCTCTCTCTCTCCTCTCTCTCCTCTCTCTCTCTCTCTCTCTCTCTCTCCTCTTCTCTCTCTCTCTCTCCTCATCTCTCTCTCTCTCTCTCTCTCTCTCTTCTCTCCTCTCTCTCTCATCTCTCTCTCCTCTCTTCTCTCTCTCTCTCTCTCTCTCTCTGTATATATGCTCTCCAGGGCAAGCGGAAGAAGAGGAAGAGAGATAATAAGACAGACTCAACAGCAGAGGGTGAGGACGGCAACACACACACACACACACACACTCTTTTCTCTCTCTCCTTGTGTGTTTGTAATAACCCGCTCTCTCCTCTGACATGCAGCTTATGAGGTGCAGTGCTAGCGCAGGGTACAGTACGACTGAGGCTCGTTCACACAGGGTCATCGCTCACACACCACCTGTTTTCATCCATTAGCAGTTAGAACAGGGCTTTATAACGCGCAAATTGTGAGAGAAAAAAAAAAAGAGTCAGAAATGTGAGATAAAAAGTCGCAATTATCTTTATTTATTTGTATTGCGCTGCGGAAACAGGCTACTTATCCTCACCAAGGATGCATTTATTTGATTTTTTTTGTTAACTATATAAATAGTACTATTATGAAATATTACAATTTAGAATAACTTTTTTATTTTAATATATTTTAAATTAAAATGTATTCCTGTGATGCAAAGCTGAATTTTCAGCATCATTACTCCAGTCTTCAGCGTCACACTATCCTTGAGAAATCACTCTAATATGATGATTTGATGCTCAATAAACATTTATGATTATTATTAATGTTGAAAACAGTTGTGTTTGATGAAAGTCCAAACGAACAGCATTTATTTATTTTTACTGTCACTTTTAATCAGTTGAATGCATCCTTTGACCAGCAGTGTTTTATGTGTCAGTACAGTGAGCCCGTGTGTGTTTAGGAACAGATGTGAGATAGAAGCGAGTGTTTATTACGCTCTGTTGTGTGAACGGCTCCTCATCCACAGTTTGAGTACCGTGACGTGACAAATCGACACACGACGCCATTTCCATTTTGTGTTCAGCGTTGTATGGGTGAATCTCATGATCATATTTCAGTCTAAAATCAAAAGAAAGTGATGAATTATCTTTTGCATATAGACAATGAAGAAACATGACAAGGACATTTCCCACTGAATTCTCATTAATACAATGAATAATACCATAAATAATATTTATATAGAGCTTCCCCCGACTAGTAGTCGTTCATCACGCACAAGTTCTATATAGTATTATATAGACTCATTACATGCAAAGTGAGATATTTCAAGCCTTTATTAGTTATAATTGTGATGATTATGGCTTATAGATATGAAAACCTTTTCACAATATTCTAATTTTGAATTTGGGGTTTTCATAAGCTGTAAGCCATAATCATCACAATTATAACAAATAAAGGCTTGAAATATCTCACTTTGCATGTAATGAGTCTATATAATATTAGGGGTGTAACGATACACAAAATTGACGGTTCGGTTTTCCCACGGTTTTGACGTCTCGGTTCGGTTCGGTTCGGTTTAGAAAGCTAAAATTGCTTCTTTTTTTTCCTTTTCTTTTTTAAACAGTGGTTTAACGAAAAAATTGTCTTTGTCTTTAAATTAATTCAATTACAATTAAACGTTTCACAAGGATTAAAAAAAAATCTGCTAAATCTGTAAACTATATAGGGAGCCGCACATTACTATAACATTAAAGGTTGTAGCCTAGACTTTTAACCTAAATTCAGATGCTATTTATTTTTTAGATATAATAATCAACACACAACACATTGTATGAAAACATGTAAACTGAACACAAGGCAGTGTTTGCATTAACTTGTGTTTTACTCTAATTTGTTATTGAAATATAATACTTTACACAGTTGTCATTTTCATGAAAGATATTTTAAACATACATTAAATAATCAAGATATCATTAACAGGTTAAGTAAAATTAAAAAAAGTAAAAAAGGCTAACATGGTGCATTTATTTAGTGCAAGAGTTCATTTATAGGAACCAAAGTTGTGGACACTGAATCACTTGCCTGTTGAGATAAATATAATGCTAGTGACACGCTATGCTGTTTTATTGACGTCTTTCCGCTGCTGAAACACTGATTGAGCGATTACACGAGTTATGATGCCTTTCAGTAATTATACTGTATCTTTCAACATACCTTCAGGTGTCCATTCTGTAACTGAGGAAGAGATGATCGCGTTTACTCGCGCGCAGCGCTGCTGCTTGAAATGAGGAGCTTAGTAGGCCTACAGCGATCTGTCACGCCACATCAAAGAGCGCCAAAACGCCATTTATTGTTTGAATTTCGTATCAAATAGACAAATTTGAAAGATTACACCTTGCTTATTATCGAAAGTAACAAAACACGGAGCTTGTTATTTGGTGTTAATGGTGGTTAGCTACAAAACTGAGTTCGTTGTGTACTGTACACATAAGACATGAGGTCCATTGAGCCGGGCTGGGCGGGGCCGGGGTAGCAGGGGGGCGGGGAGGGGCGTGTTCGGTACGCAATGAGAGTATCGCGATTCGAATCGTGAGTTCTGTATCGCGGTTTTTCGGTTCGGTTCGAATATCGTTACACCCCTATATAATATATTAGTTTCACCTTTAAGTTGAATTACTGAACTTTTTGCACGATATTCAAATTTTTCGAGTTTCATCTGCATACTTCAGCTTACACATTCACAAAAGCACACACACTTGGATATGCGCCTAATAACAGCGCACATATATCTAGATTAACATTAGAGCGAGCAGATATGTAAAGTTGTTACGTACATGTTTCAAATGATAAGCCATATTTGAGGGCGATGGATGATAGGCGAGCGTTTGGATTTCCTGCTGTAATTAACACAATTAACGATCTGTGTGACTTCCTGCGACGTTTATTTTTTTCTGTGACTAGTCAAATTTTGGTTGACTAAACCTCTTCTAGTCGACAAACATTTAGTTGACTTATTAGGGGGTAGCCTTATATTTATATAACATTATTTAAAAAAAATACTATACATATATTTTCTATTACATTGAGAATCTAATGTGAACCATTAAGAATAGTGAAAATTACGAGAGAGAGAAAAAAACTAAAGCGATGGTCATTCTAGACTTCTTTCTTCAGACACCTTTTTTTTAAAAACACCAATTTAAGATTCAACAAATAGTAAATATAATAATATAACTAATAATCTACTCCATTTTCATGCAATGCTGCAAACCTGCCGGTTTAAATGTGTTTTTTAATTCTGCTAAGAGGTCACGCACCTTAACATGTCCAGATGAGTGTTTGGTGGGAAAATATAATAATAAAAGTGTCTCTAAATGTAATATTTGTGATGATTTCTGTGTGTATCATGTCTTCAGTGTTTCTGTTTCCTCCTTGTGAATGTATGTTCCCTGTGCAAAAATGTTATAACAGGGTTTGTACAAGGTGCTTAAAGTGCTTGAATTTGACACTTTGACATTTAAGTCCTTGAAAACAGCCATATTTATGCAGAGGTTCTAGAAAAGGGCTTGAATTATTCAAAGACAATGTGAAATTTGAGTTTAATTTTATCGATAAAACAATCTTTTCATGCAAGATTAACGTTGCAGCCCATCTGAAATTGATATAGAGCCATTTCACATTGGCTATTAGCGTAATATTCCTCATATCCGAATATATGATACAGCTTTTATTCTTCAGGTCAGACATATATTCATGGGAGAAGAGATCAGTTTGAATAAGGAAAGCGATATCTTTGTTATAGTATCCTTTCAATGGTTAAAGTTCCCAGTCATTGCATCTGCTGCACTTTATTTGTAGCATTATGTTTTATTAGTTTATTTTTATTGATCTATTTACCTTCTTTAGAATTTGAAAGATAATAAAGATATTGTTTAATAAGTGAGATCTCTGATTGTAGTCCTTGAAAAAGCAACAAAAAAAGTTTTCATTTCATTTTACACATTTACAGCACTTGTACAAATTCTTGCCATTGATGATGTGATTTTCCGTCCTCTTTCAAAAAATATATGAAGCCTCTATCTCTAAAATATAATATTTGTGATGATTTCAGTGAGTGTATCATGACTTCAGTGTTTCTGGGCTCCCCAAAACCCACCTATTTTCCCCTTGTGAATTTATGTTCCCTGAGCAAATCAAAAGTTATTAATTCCTGCCATTGATGAAGCGTTTTCCATCCTCTCTCAGATTTCTCAGCGCGGAACAAGAAGCCGTGTGTGCAGTACCTCCCCCAGGAGAAGATGATTGACAGCCCTGGCTCCTCCCACGGGAGCATGCTGGACTCCCCGGCCACGCCCTCAGCGGCCCTGGCCTCGCCCGCGGCCCCGGCCCCCACACACTCGGAGCAGGCCCAACCACTGTCCCTCACCACCAAACCCGATCGCCAACACCACTACCCTCTGCTGGCCAAACCCCCTTCATCATCATCATCATCATCATCAGGCAGTCAGTTAACTCCGCCTCTTCTGTCTAGGCCACTCCCCTTTTCTTCCCTGCATGCCTCTCTCCTGTCTCCGCCCTCCCCGTACCATCACTCCCATCATGCTTTGTTCCAGTCTCAGCCTCTCTCTTTGGTAACCAAATCAGCTGACTGACTCTCTTCTAAAGCAATTCTTTCTTAATGTCTTTTAAATAATGCTGTATATGGCTTTTTTACCGTTTTTTTTTTTTTTTTTTTTTTTTGAGAAATAGATGTCAGGTTAACTTTTTTGATAAGTGAGAAAAGGAAATAAATATTATTATTGGTCAATATTTGATCATCCGCTTTTCTGTTGTCTGTATAAAACAATGTATTTTTTTGTAATGTCTACTTTGGAACTGGTTTCTTATTTGATGCATTTATTCAGTAATCTTGTATAATAAAAAAAAATACATGTATTAAACTACTTTTAAAAGATAAGAAGGAACAAAAAACATTTAAGCTTGACTGTAATTAATGGTAGTTTTTGGAGTTTTAATTCATAGTACTGGCAATTTATTAGACCTCTTTGCAATGACCCCCCCTTACCCCAGTTTTGAACTGTGTGAACTTGATAAATAAAACTTGTAAATTGTTTCTAAAAATGGATGTTGTTGTCTTCTTGGGGTTAAGTTTGTTAAATCAGTGGTTTTTCAGGCATGGATAAGTCATGGAAATAAATAAATAAAAATGTATTATTGGAATGTAGCCTAATTATAGCAGTCACTTTAATAAAAAAAAGGTATTTTTAAAATGTTTTTGAAAGAAATCTCACCAAGGCTGCATTTATTTGATTAAAAATACAGTAAAAACACTAATATTGTGAAATATTATTACAATTTAAAATAACTGTTTTCTATGTGCATATATGTTAAACTGTAATTTATTCCTGTGATCAAAGCTGAATTTTCAGCATCATTACTCCAGTCTTCAGAGTCACATGATCCTTCAGAAATCATGTAAATCAAGTTACATTTAATATCAATGTTGAAAACAGTTGTGCTGCTTTGTTTTTTGATGGTGATGATGCATGAGCAAAGTTGAACAACATTTGAAATATCTCAATCTAATGCATTTCTTCCAAATAATTCCCAAAACTAAATCTTACTAGACTAATGTATTTGTACTAAACTACAATAACTTTGAAGGTTGATCTTGACTAATGCAGTCAACATTACATTTTGTTTAAAAAATTGGGTTTTTTTTCCCTTTCTTTTCACTGTATTCAGATTTTTTTGTATGAGGAACAATCATGCAGTAACAGGGTTGCACTGAATATAAAGTAATTACAATTACTAGAACTACTACTATTTATATAATTTCAATGTCTCTGATTTAAATTGCTGAATGTATAGTCCTTTTTTTTTAGTCCCCTATTGCTGAAAAGAAGGTCCAAATAGACCACAATAAACCAAAATACTTTTCAGTTTATTAGATAAATAATAGTTTATCTAATATTTCACAACTAAAAATATACGACTATTTCCTCTTTAAGTCACGGAACACCAAAATGTGCCATTTTCGTGGGAAGCGCCTGATTATGTTACCTCAAAAATGTAGAGATTTTTATAATCGTCTAAAAACAACATCTAGAGCACAGAACGATGGCATAATAAACGGCTGGAGAAACCCTGCTGATAGAAGAGGAATTCGAGTTAAATCTTTAATAGCTGGAATTTAGGCAAACCGCACTGGAAAATAAACAGATGAGCCAGAGCAACAAAAATGTCTGCCAAAAATAAACACGCTTTAAAAAAAATAATAGACATCTGTTCCTTCCTGGAATGCAAAGTCCCAAAACAACGACAAAAAAGCAGGTCAAACCCTGCCTTCCCGTTTTCTCTCGGTGTGTGTGTGTGTGTGTGTGTTGGCTGATGCTGATGCTGGCGCTGTAATGAAGTGCACGGTAATAGGATGGAGCTCCAGGGACCTCATTAGGCTTTTCAATTAGTGAGAAATACACAAGGTAGAGTCCTCTGCTTTTTAGGGGCTTTAGGAGCGGCCAGAGATGCCAAGAACGCTTCACGCTTCCCTCAGCGAGCGGAGGTGACGACACCCTCACACACCTCGTGTGTGTGTGTGTGACCCGGGATCACACAACCAGGCTCAGGTCGCACGGGTGTATCTGTGGCAAAAGCCAACAATACACTGTATGGCTCAAAATTATACATTTTTCCTTTTATGCCAAAAATCATTCGGATATTAACCTGTTAACAGTCACCCCCCTTTTTTTCAACATACATGAAAATGCACATTTCGAACTTAAATGGTTGTAATTCAAGAATGCTTTGGAATACAGACGATTGGTCTCGTTTTAAAGAAGACATTTGGTAGATTTTTGTAGAAGTGAAATAAATTAAGAAAGTGAATTTTACGAAAATGTACCGTACAATGTAAAAATTTTAATTATTCATATTTAATATAAAATATATATTTTCCTAAAACCTGGGCGACTCTAAAACTGCACAAAAAAAAAAAAAACAAAGCCAAAAAATCTGAACGTGTTTCAAATTTTAGGTTGATATCTCAAAAAATGAGCTTTCAGTGAAAGTGTGTGTGGGCGCAGTACCGAACGCTTCCTCTAGGGCACAACCAGACTCCATTACTGCCCATATAAGGGCGCCTCCATTTCCATATGTGTTTGATTGATATGAACCATTATTTCCACAATTTTCATACAATTTATGAAGTAGATATCCTATTCAGAAGTAATATGAGAAGTTCGGCAGATTTTGATATGAATTCAACCTCTAAGAAACACATAAAAAGAACACGCATGTGCGTTATAGCTCGCTGCCACATCACAAATGGTGAATTTATTTATTTTTTCTTTATATTTAAAACATTTTCAGATCTTTTTTTCTAAAATAATTGAATGGATGCTATCTTTTGAACTCTTGGCATGAAAACAAACTGAGGTTTCTACCCTTCTTTCATGATTTTTCATGTTTATTGCTATTTCAAAATAAAGGTCTGAACACGCCTTAGGAGTGTGAAAATATTCTTGTTGCAAATTGATAAATTACGGCTCTTCTGTAATTCATTTTGAAAATCAATCACCATTATTTTTTTGTATTTTATAACTGACTGTATACTTGTCTTTAATAATGCTTTAAATTTGTATTAGTTAGGCTAGTAGTTTTAGCTGTGGTATCGAAATTGGAATAGAGAATTGTGAATTTTCACTGGTATCTAAAATTTTAGTGTCATTAGTGCCTGTTTTTGCAAAAAAATCGTTTCATGGCCGGTAAAAATATATATAAAAAAAAAAATTGGCCAGTACATTTTCTTAAAGTCTGCCTGCAATCAATAATTGTATCCCTTTGATCGCCAAAATTGATATATTTAAAACTTTTTTCCTTGTAAAAAAATGTCTTCATGCCTTAGCTTGAATGTAACTCGACACCCTTGCCTCATTTAGTATGTGCGGTTCTATGAATATGCAAATGAGCCCCGCCTCCACTCACTCACTCAGCTCAGAGATCCACTGGTTGACGATCACACGTTGATCTGATTGGTTACAAGGTCGTTTGTGACGTCAGAAACACCAGCGATTTCAAACAATTTTAAGGAGAAAATACTCAGCAATGCTGTCGACTTATGAATTTACACATGGTTTGACTTAAAGCATTTTAAAAACACCATATAGACACATAAACAACATTAAAAGCTTGATTTGACTTTAAGTCACCTGCCACTAAAGTTAGATTTAGGCCCTGTATATAGCCTGTGTATATTATATGTAATTTAAAATTGAATTTAAAGTAAATTACATTATTTATGTTATATCATAATCTTGCCTTTCTTTGAGGACGTTACAGGGCGTTCAAAATAACCGATTCTTGTCAGTGAACTGAAATCCACTTTGAAGGATATCCTTTGCATGTAGGGATCAGTGGACCCCGCTTAGGGATCCTGAGCTTAGACAGTAAAAGAAATGGACACAGCGACCCCATAGACTTCAACGGAGAAAAGTGAAGCCCATTAGAAGCATCTCTTCCTGATAGCCGAGCGACTGGGCCGGCTCACACGACGGAGATGTGACGTGAGCAACCGTTCTGACAGCTGTACGTCTTCTAGTAGCGGTGCCAAGAGGAATCTGAATTGAAATCTGAAACAAATCCGTTGTTGAAATATTTTGTCCCGTTGCTTTTATGAACTCTCTATCTATGGGCTTCTCCCTTGACTTTATGCCTCCATGTCCACCCGATCGCCTCATAGACAGTAAAAGATTGCCCGTGAGCTTCTACTTCTGTCTATACGGTAATTTCTCTACTGTGCGACAGAGAGTCGCGTGTTATGACGCAATCGTTAGCCTATTTTTACAAAAACTGCTTCTACGGGGGCACAATGTAAGATACAAGGTAATGGAGCCTTTTATACATCGTCGTGTTTCTTTAGAAATGAATAATGGACAAATGGAGTCTTTAAACGCCTCAGATGTAAAGTTCTTCGCTGTCAAAGTGACGCCAAAATGAATGGGAGTCAATGGGATGCTAACAGCAGGTGATGGTCTGCTAGCCGATGGCGGCCCCTGGGGAGACTTCAGTTTCCCGCTGGTGGATTACCGCCTTGATCCTGACGCGACTCTCACCCAAAGACTGTAAATTAAATGTCCGTAGTGTGTGTGACGTCACCCGTATGTTTCTGAAGAGCTTTTTTGAAGCCCAAAGTGGGCGGAGCCGGCCGCCGCCATCATGGCCGCGCGTCACTCCCGGGTAAACGGATTAGCTGAGGTGACGTGACGCTAACAGACAGCAGACAAACGGCTAGTAGTGACATCAGCGGCAATCCACCTGTCACTCAAGTGGCCACGCCCTTAATTATGCAGAACTTATAAGGCTTAATATAATTTAAACGGATGAGTTATAAAAAAATTCACGAAGGGCAAAATTAGCATTAAAGACCAAAACCACTTTTTGCACCAGGCTGTAAACATGTTTTTTTCTGCTGTAAAGTCGGGGGTCTATGGGATTGGCTCTCTTCTGCAGCCGGTCTCTAGTGGACAGTCGATGAACTGCAGTTTAAGTCACTTCCGTGTCGGATTGAAGAGAGAGACCGTAATGTTGCCGGTTGCTCTCATCGCACTGATGCGCGGGGTTTTTGAGGGATCCTACACCCGTCGTGAGTCTCTCCCTCAGGAATACATGTGACCCTGGACCACAAAACCTGAAAGCTGAATAAATAAGCTTTCCATTAATGTATTGTTTGTAAGGATAGGACCATATTTGGCAGAGATACATACAACTAGTAAAAATGAATTTTTTATTTGTCTTTTGTTGTTTGATTAGCATTTAATAAAACAGACAGCAGGAATATTAGGCTGCTGTCACTTTAAGAGTGAATGCACAGATCCAATATACTGTTTGCTTCTTGCAATTCAGTTTTTTTTGTTTACGGAATAAAAAAATAAAAAGGTAATTGTAACTTTTTATTTCATAACTCTGACTTTATATCTGACGATTCTTTTTTTAAGACTGTTTTTCTTGCGAGATATAAACTTTTTTCTCCTAATTCTGATCTTAAATCTCGCAATTCTGTTTTTTGTTTATGGAATAAAAAATAAAAAAGTAATTGTGACAAATTATTATAAAATTGGGAGTTCATAT